GTAGAGGACAGTGTATCCTTTGCTGATTCTGTCAAATGCTCGCGTATAAGTTGAATTTCAACTCAAATCACAATAGTAGGAACCAGGCGAAACAGCGATAAAATATGAAGATCAAATCAGAAACAAACGGGATGATAATCACATCGTAAATCAGGGCAAAAATTAGTGAAACACTTGCTGAATACAATAGATGGGAATAATTTGCCATAAGTCAATATTACTGTCTACAGTTTATGCTTAGATGAGATCAGGTTCACATTCTGCCAAGTTCTTGCCCGCCGAGAGCATGTGTATGCAGTCACTCTCAGACATCAAAAATCAAAGTGTTCGTCATTTTTATGTTGGTATTTGAGGCTGTTTTCTCCAGCCCATTCTTCTAATGACGACAGATATTTCGGACCTCATTTTCGGTTTTATACATCTTATGCCCTCAATAGCTTAACATTTACTTGAGGGACCGATGCAGAGAGAAATTCTTCAGGACCGTAATTGGACATAAGAAAAAAGGAGAATCTAAGAAGACTCCTTGTGATTCCCAAATATCGAAACCCCCTAACTTTAATCCAGTACAGTACTGTTCATATTGCAAGTTAATTTCATGCGAAAGAAACAAGTCAATGATATCAGTCCAAAATACCCTAGTGATTTAGATGATGGCTTTGTGTTAAAAACCTTAGAGTCAGCCTAGTACCACTACAGACGCTCAAGCAAGAACTCACTGTTTCTTGTCCCAGGTAAAGAATTTGATAAACAGCTTTATTGGAAGTCGCCAATAAATTGGTCTTTTGAAACAGTTGAACATTGTTTGATCCTACTGAATTCGGCTTATTTAACCCCCATAACTAAAATGTGACTGACAAGAATTGGATTACCGATGTATGTACGTACTTACTTACTTACGCCTGTTACTCCCAATGCAGCATAGGCCGCCGACCAGCATTCTCCAACCCACTCTGTCCTGGGCATTCTTTTCTAGTTCCATCTAATTCTTGTTCATTTTTTTTCATGTCTATTTCCATTTCTCGGCGTAATGCGTTCTTTGGTCTTCCTCTTTTCCTTTGACCTTGAGGATTCTATGTGAGGGCTTGTCTTGTGACGCAGTTGAGTGCTTTCCTCAATGTGTGTCCTATCCACTTCCATCGCTTCTTCCTAATTTCTTCCTCCGCTGGGATCTGGTTTGTTCTCTCCCACAGTAGGTTGTTGCTAATAGTGTCCGGCCAATGGATCTGAAGTATTTTGCGTAGACAACTGTTAATAAACACCTGTATTTTCTGGATGCTGACTTTCGTAGTTCTCCAGGTTTCTGCCCCATACAGTAGAACTGTCTTGACATATGTATTGAAAATCCTGACCTTGGTGTTGGTTGACAGTTGCTTGATAGTTGCTTGACAGTTGATGTATGTACGTAACTAAGGCCATATTGTAAAGGTTACCCTGGAAAACATTTTCGCTGTTAAAAGATTCCATAAAATCCTCTGCGGCCACATGTCTACTCTACTGATAGACTACAAACCCAAGGAAAGCTAACATAATATAGCTTTGGGAGACAGTGCTTCTGAGTTATAACTTCAATATCAAGTATCAGTACCACCGGTCGACCTGATGCCCTCTCTGCGTTGGTTGAAATTCAACACCCTGGACCGGAGGATAGGATCGCACCCTGAAATAAGGTGGTGGTTGGAGGTAATCAACAGGAAACCCTGGACACGGGTTTTGTGCTGCTTGGCACTCTTCAGCAAGGTGTACCCATAATCTTGAGGGAACTGGTGCTCCCCGACGGATTCGATCCCATGTCACCCAGCTTCACAGTCAGAGACGTTACCACTGGGCTATCCGGGCAATGTCAAGTCACCTAGACTAGTGGCCACATTGCAACTTGGTCGATAGCATTCGATTTGCACTAAGAAGGACTTGACACACATGACACTGATCACCACCCAGTGGTCAATTTATTGTGAAACTATACATGTCTAATCGAAAACCCTTTTGATATTATTGTCCATTAACTTACACGACTATTTTTTGCCATTAACCAACTGACTACTATTTACATTTGTCTAATTATCAACTCACACCCTGAATAGCTGTGGATCCAGAAATTAGGAGTGTAGTGGCAGATGCCATTTGTTGGGCTATTCAGGAAAATATCCCAAAAATTATCCTGTTAAGCCTAATGCTATCCTTGGACATGAAATGGTATCATCTTATTGGTCAATATTTATTTAACGTGTCATTTTCCTACTGGCCATTATTGTACAATGTTATTTTCTATTTTATGGTACGTTGTGGTTTGCTTGACTGGTATATAAACAAAGTATGTTTGAAATATAATGATTCATATATCCGAGGCTGAAACTTGTGTTCTGGACTTAACTGGCTGGGTTGGACAGGGAAGGGGGACCAATCAGAACCCTAGGTCGTTCTACGTGTTTGTGCGTCTTCGGTCCGATCAATAATTCGCTACCCCCTTAATCAGCAGCATTTATTTTCACGTTATAACACCATTCCAAACACTTCAATGTCATCAGTTGAAGTCAGAGAAGGAACTCCTCGAGACCCAATCTTACATTAGGTTAAAAAGTTCCACCTATAAAAATGTTCTTCAAAGACCAGCTCCATAGGGCTTCAGTGGTTTCACCGGCACAGACTATTTCCTTGAATCATTTACAACTGATTTCTGACTACCGAACGCTGTATAATCCCCAAAAAGCTGCAACTAGCGATACTTGAAAAGTTGCACAGAGCTATATGTACTGACAGCATTTAGTCATCCCACTGGACAGACATCTTTTTTCGTGTACCAAGTGCGCAATAGCGACAAAAGTACTGTGGAGTGCAGAACCGCACTCTTCGCCAGTACCACAGTCACCATGGTAGCGTATACACTTGAAATTTTCTGGTTTACCCCTTGGATAAACTTATCTTTTGGTAGTTGACACATATGGCAAGTGGTCAGAGATCCAACTGCACGCTGCACAGTCACAGAACTGTTTCAACCACTCAGAAATACTAGTCACCAACAATGGGACTTAGTTTGCAACTGCCATCTTCTCGGAATTTTTTCGATAGAACTGAATCGATCATATCCAGACAGAATTCAAGAGGTTACGTGGAGTAACCACGCCCGCATGGACAGGTCATACCATTTCGACAAATTGGTCCCGCGTCCATCACTTTTTACATTCTATCCGTGTTGAATGTTGAGTGTAAATTTTCTCAGTTATCTTATGTTCGACTTCGAGGGTCGTGTGGTTAGAACCAATATCACTATGTGTACCTGCCTTAAACTACCATGGCAAACATCCTACATGGATAGTTGGTCGAATGGTGCAAAAGAAATGAAGTGTAGTTTACGTGGTGTCAGTTGACTCAGAAGTTTGAGTGACTCATGTTATCCGACCAAAAGCACCTTTGGAATCCAAACAATTAAAACATTTAAGCCGGCTTGTTAAGGCAGAAAATATACCACATTTTCATTACCTAGAGGCTAGACAAATCATAAGTATAGATCAGTCACGCAGTTGGGGGCTAACCCTAACACTAGGTCCTACGAATAAGCTCAAAGAGGAAGTGTTAGCAGGATGTAGATTGAATTGTTTCGGGCAGGATTGTGTTACATGAAGCCAATGAGCTATTTTTTAAACTATCAACACTAGCGGTTACTGATCTATGCAGACGGCACAAAGAACTGGAGGTCCATCAAAGACGAAAAGAATTCACTTGAGCTTTAGAAGACCTTACAACAGTAGGAAAATGTACGTAGACTATGGGTCAAAACAACCTGTAGCGTGGCGTCGATTCGCGGTTGAATATGATCACCACTACAAGAAGGTTACGTACCAGATATCAGAAGGCAATTGGAGGTTGTAGCGAAGTATATTTGTTGGTGATCTCGTGGTATCGAAAGAATACCGAGATCGTGCCAAAGGAGTATGAGCGGAATCACTGAGCAAACGTCAGTTCGTGTAAGGTCACAATCAACGGAAGAAAGAATGTCTTTAGTACAGTTGAACAGATAAGTACAGTAAAACAATCACTGGTGCAACTGGTTATAATATTAATTGTTTCCATTAAATCAATCGCGTTCTCTTGATAATAGTAGGTCACTACAAACCTATCAAAACAATACGTCATGAGCATTCTGCCTCACTTGATACAAAGCACTGACATTCTCCATAGAGGTCCTTTCCCTATTGTCTTCTCAGAGCGTGATCTCGGGCTCGTAGCCACAGAGGAACTAGAAACTAATTCAGATCACACAGGGGATGCAGTCAAGGCAGACGCAACTCGGTACTTTATGAGTAAAATCCTGGCGCGATAAACCCAGAATTGTTCCCAACATTGTTTAAAACATACAATGTCGTTAAGCCCTCTCCCTTCAAGTGACATAAAGCTCTTGGACCAAGTACAGAGACGGACAACCAAGTGAGCAATAGAGTTCACGAGAATAGACATCAGTATCTAGGATTATTCTCACTGAGCCACAGGAGAACAAGGGGTGATCCGATAATGTTATACAATACATCAAGTACACCAAACCATCCTAACGCGAGCGTATTATCAGTACATCTAGACAACCCGCAAAAGGTCACACATAAACGAACGAACTCTCAGACACGCTCTCATCTTTCTCCATTACGAGGCCCCTCCACATGAACTTACCTAACAGCCGAAATGACCACAGCCCCCCAGTGAATAGCTTTAAGATGAGACTTGGTAAACATGTTCTGACCCATGGATTACTTATCCCCTCTTGGACCAGCTGCCTAATGCATGTATCATTAGTTGCCTCAGTTATCACTACTGCGCAACCAGAAAATACTGTCTATGTCTCTTATTATCACATTTGTTCTCTTATTATGTGACAAGCATACTCACTCTACAACAAGTTATACAAATCCACAAATAACTGCTACAGAGACTCAAAACATCGCAGTTGAGTGGCTAGACTACTATCTATTGGACATAAACATGTATTTGGAAGCGTAAGTAAACAGAAAGCGAGAGAAAAGAAATCAATCAATTTATACAAGCTCGTCACAATTATATTGGATATTGGAAATCTAGTAGAAGTTAAGGTCACTAGTATAAAACGCCCAAGGTGCACCCCATTTAATTCCTCTCTTCAGTCATAGGTCATTTAATTCATCGTAAGTCATAGGCGCATCATATTATTCAGTTATGTTTCATCGACTACGGCATGTTCGCAAAGGTGAATAATATGGTCTTGGTATTCAGTGTTTTAAGTTTAATGTATCCATGGATCGAAATATTGCATGAAGATATGTTTGGGACAGCACGATTTTTTAATCATTACAGCTATAGCACTAATTAACAGTATTATAATTATTAATACTCGATCCTCAATACTCAAATCATCATGTCGATTATACCGAGACCAGTAATGTGGCATGGGGCCTAATTTGTATTCACGAATAATTATCATTGTATACAAAATAAACGTCATTCGTTTACTAATGTGCTGTGTTATTTTCTACATTCATACATTGTTGAGTGTGTTCCTTCATACTTATGTTTTACACCACCATGAGTTTTGTCTGTTCTCATACGGCATATTCGAGTTTCATAATTTGTAATCCTTTAACTAAATATTTCTGGATTAAAATGATAAGTTTTAGGTGTACACCAGCCGTTTCCTGATTATTTCCTCTATCCATATTCCATATAACTAGGTTAGTCGGTGCCGGCACTAACTTTGTTATATATCTCTGTCTATTTAACAGTGTATACCTTTGACAGGGATAGCATTCGAAAATATGACAGTAGGTCCATAGGCATTTCGTTGTGAAAATTAACTCAGACAAGATCAAATTAATGTCATTAACAACATCGTTATGTTTCATTACCCTCCATTACCTAGCTTTCGGGCGTAGTGCCATACTTCACAAGGTTTCAGGTTTCTCACTGATTACCTCATTTTAGTTTATAGCTGGAATCACAGCATATGGTTGCATTTTCATTCAAGTTTATTTAAGTAATATACACTATCATCAATAGTTTGAATTTTTCATGAAATTATTCGGTCAACACAACGCTTTTTTACCAACAGTTCTCAAAACGTGAACACTATGTGGTTAGTTACGCTAGGTTCTCTCTTTAATCTGGTTACGAACTTTGCCTGGTTGTTTTAAACTTTACATTGTTTGCAGTTATCACATTTTGGGCACATGCTTTCTAAGTTATATACTTTCTCATTTCCGTTCATAGGTTCTGGAGTCATTGGAATAAACTTCTGTCACTAATTTCAAACCTAATCCAATCTCGACCAAACCTGTTCACATTCAAGGAGGACACCTACTAACTTGCCTTAAAATATGCAGAATTTCTCCCATACAATATGGATGGGTGACGTATGTTTTGTCTGGTTTTATTCATTTTCCTTTTTTAGCTGGAACCTTACATGGATGAAATGTTTATTAAACGAGCCTTTGAAACATCAGGTGAAAATATAGTGAGTGTAAAAGTTATCCGGAACAAGGCGACTGGGCAAACTCTTGGTTATGGTTTCATAGAGTTTGCTAACTCAACATCTGCGAGAGATGCAATGCTTAAGTTGAATGGCAAGCTCATTCCTGGAGCCCCTGTAAGCTTTATTAGAATTATTCGTCCGCTTAATCTTAATTTTAAACTAAATAAAAGTTTCTGTACGTATTTACAAATCGTTTTAGATTTCATGAGGCTGCATATTGGAATATTTTGTAGACCACTGTTAGCATTCAGTTGGCAGACTTTTTACTATAAATTGAGTCATGACAAATAAAGTCTAAATGTCAAATGACATTTTATTCTAATCACTATCGCAATTCATGTTTGACTATTTGGGTTTCATAACGTCTTCATCATAATCCTTTCGGTCTTATCACATTTATGTTACTGTACTGTAAGTACAAAGATTCTTGAGCATATAGCACTGATTTTCATCAAGAACTATTAGTTCATTAAATATGTCTCAAGAAAAGATTGTGCTCATATTTATCAATAAATTATTTTCTGCTCTATATACACGAGAAATTCATCATTCCAATGAATACTTAAATTAGTTAATTGATTTTTCCCCCATGATGATCAAACATTTATACTATATGCATGCAAAATTGTACGTTTTTGACTGAATTTTTCACTAAGCGCCTTGAATTATCTCTTTCCAATATGATTTTATGAGGTCGTTATCCACTTTGATATCGTTTAAGGATAAGAAATAGTGACTCTATACTAACATTTATGAAGTTAAACAACCGTAGGGTATGCTAAGATAGGTCTTCAACCAAGTTCCCACGCAAATATGCTGCGGGTCGTCATTCATCTTTGGAATTTCAACAGTGGATTTTCATTCGGTTTTATTTCGTTGGTTTTTGCGTGATCTAATGAGTGGATGATATTAATCTAATAGGGTTGTCATAGGATGTGACATGGATGAACGACCAAAAGTAATTCATTTGCTTTTCCAGCTTCAGCACTATTGTCATCATATTCGTTTCTGCTCATTATACAAATGTCCCTGGTGATCTGAATAAAGCAGAACTATTAATTTTTCATCTTCGCTACCTGGGATTTCAATGGGTTGACGTTTTTTTATCTCCGGGTACATTGTTTTGCTAATGTTATACTTAAGGCTCATTTTAATTCACCTCACCTATAAACCGACCGTTTCACTCAAGTAGTATCAGGCATAGCATTGCACTATTTCAAGCTATTTAGAAATCAATATCATTTTATGTAGAAAAAAATCAGAATAGATCAACGAAATATCATGAGATGTATTAAGTTCATATAATAAGTTGTTAATTTATTAGACCAAAGTAATAAGGATGAATGCATATATTATGCTGAGTTAGACTTCAAGTTGTTCTTAACAACCACTAAGTTTCAATATTATTGGGACTACCACTAATTAGTTGTAATATATCAGTGGACATTTTCATCGTACATTTGTCCTTGATTTCATGGTGTCTTTTCATAAACCTGTCACATCAAATCCTTCTGGCTAATCTTAACGGCAGATAATAGTTATTTGAAGAATTTCTAAGATGTTTGTAAAGTTAATGTTTTATCCTTACTACATATAAATTCTTGTACTGTCGGGCACCACAATGGAGAAATGATAGAGTTTGAAGAAATAGAGGAATGAATGGAAGCACAATGAAAATAATAAAATAGAGATCGATAAATAAGTAAAAAAATATGTAAGATGTCGTTCAGTCAAAAATACAACTAAGAAAGTTTAGTAAAGTCAGTATAATTTGTATTAAAGTGATTTATTTACATCGCCTTTAAAAATCACAATATAATTGTTATCTTATTAGAAGAATCGTTGTGTTTCACTAGGATGGTGGATTATTGAATTTGAAGCTAGCTTTTACTACAGTTTGGTATCGGTTAGAGAACCATTAAAAACCAGGTAGCATTTTACACTGAGGTTGTTCAGCAGTGCTCGCCGACTACTCCACTCGGTTTAAACTGTCAGCCTATACGTTGCGTTGAATGCGTTAATTTTTGGGCCGTGGTCTACGATAATATACTTGTTACTTACTGAGTTCAGTCTTATCGGGTGTGACAGATATCACGTTGCAATTAATCGTTATAATCGCGCAGTATCTTAAGTTTATTTCAATTGCAAATGTGAACCACTGTATCCCTACACATTGCTGGTCTAAAATTGTTGTACTCCTGATAAAACCTGAAAGCTGTGGGTTTGATGTGGTATAAGTCAATAAGAAGTCCCGAACTAGGACGATACAACTGCCCAGTCTTTCCTAGTTCTCACTGTTGATCTGGGTTTGATGTCATTCTGTAATGAAAACTAACTTCATGTTGTAACCCGCTTTTTGTGGATAAGAACATTTTAAATTTATTTGATTACTTTGATTTTTTTATAGACCAGAAGATTTAAACTTAATCACGCTAGTTACGGGAAAGATAGCACTTCTAGGTATGGATCTGTTGGATAATATTAATCCTTTTAGTAATGAATGTTCGTTATTTGTTGGTGAACTAACAGAAGATGTTGATGATCTTGCTTTATTCAATGCTTTTAAAAAATACCCAACATGCCGTTCAGCTAAAGGTAACTATCATTGTAGAAGTGTGTTCTTATTAATCATTGTAATTAATAGTTGTGATGACAAATGGCAAGTCTCGTGGATACGGTTTTGTTCGTTTCCTCACTGAATCTGATATGGATAAAGCGTTGATTGAAATGCAAAATTATTGTGGTTTAGGCTATAAACCGATTCGAGTGAGTCTTGCTATTCCGAAGCGTTATAATGCAGATGGAAGTCTGGTTGTTACTACAACAGCATCTGAGACGAGTTCAGTGGTTCCAAGTGGTAAGTAATTAAAACTTAATAAACACGGTTTGTCATTAGCAGTTATGAGTGTTTTTAATCCGATAAAGTTTATTAACTCTTTACATGTAATCAGATTAGTTTCTACCCCTTACTAATCTACGTCTTTATGCATCACCAGTCTTCTAAACATTCATCAAACCGTTGAACAAAATCCGACTCAGCCAGGATACTCAAATTTAATTAACCTATGTGTGCTTCATTCCTTGTTTATGTTTTCTTGGCAAAGGTTTCAATTTTAGTGAGAAACAATTCTTCAAATGATTTTGCTTGAAAACTTGAAGTCAGTTGAACTAAATCATAACTCCCTTCAATTACACAACGAGAGTCATTTTCTTTGATTTAAGGTCGAAGGAAATATATAGATAGTTCATCGTAAACTTCTCAAAATTTTGTATCACATCTATTTTTTTTTACCAACGTGCCTCCAAATGTCCTGGTGCAGCCGAGGTTGAGGAAAGTTCGCTCTCCTTGTTTAAATACTCTCATCTAGTCACTGCAATAGAAGTTTTACCCTCTACCTTCTTGTGACGGGGATGTTGTTTACAGAATCCAGTGGACGAAAAGCAAATGTCCGACTCTTTAACCGGGTTAGTAGGTACGGAGGGTCCATTTAGTAGAGTTGGAAAATCTTGATTCTAAATCAATGGTGCACATGGGCTCCAGGATCCTGAGGGAACAAATAACGTATTAACCTATTCTTGGTCACCGATTACCATGGGACTACAACTCCTAAAGTTGCTTCACTGCCTTATGAATCAGATCTTTAAGTCAAATACTCGGGGTGTGGTCTCCTAAGAAAATCACCTGTTTCGGTTTGGGCGCCTGAGCGTTATCCCACAACACAAAAGTTCGATGATTTGTGTGGAGTATATTTATATTGATCCCCCTCCGTACCAATGTTGATGTGTTTAAACAAGTAATTAATAATTAAAACAAGACATCAGGAGTTCTAATTTTCATCTATCGTATTACTCTTCAACCCCTCAGATTATGTTTAGAAATAAAAAAAAACAGATACATAGATCTAAGATGTGACCCCAGAAGTAAGAATTTATACAACATATACCCTACATAAGATAAGCAATTTTGGGGTGTTTTCATCGGTTATGAACAATCATAGTATGAACAAATAAAAGCCAATTTGATAACTTTCTGGTTGACTTGAGAAATGATGATCAGCTAATTGTTATTTTGCTTAGTTTTTTTAAACTTAGGTCTTCCCTTACAACTCATTTAAGTAACTAATATTGTCGAGTTGGTTCCAAAGACTGCATTGAGTTTCCTAAACTGAGTAAACTTATACTCACGTACATAATTGGTCATTTCTGACAGTTTTATGTTTCCCCGACCGAAGCTGCTACCTTGACGCAGTGGTCGGGCTTGCATATCGTGATGACCCAACCAAGCTATATTGGCTGGGACATATGTTCCCGTAGCTTCTACCATGCCAGGCAGGTCGATTGGAGAACGGTAAGACTAAAAGCAGCAACTCAAGGTCTGAGGGCGGAGTCGTACTGCTGACTATAGAGGAGTGTGACATCATTAAGGTGTTTCCATCAGACAACTAGCATCTGCAGCGATGCTGCCTTCCCACAAGGACGGGTGGGGTTAGAAAAGGTCGACCCTAAAAATGTCACACCTCACCTTACCTCACGGATTTTCGTTTCCGGCGGTAAAACCCTTTGAAGAACGGAGCTAATACGTCAAAAACCTCCCACAAAAAGGCCGTGCGCGACCGGCCTCAAGCAGTTGTCCCTTGGGCTCTGCGGTCACGCTCCCAGGTCATTAAGACCAACACTAATCCAATTTCCTTTTCAGGTTCCTCAATAAATACCCTTCCATGGTGTGGGCAGCCGGGAAGTGATATCAGCCCTCATACCCGTAACAGCGCACGAGACCAAGTTGGTCACATTCAAATCCTTCCTACACCTCCCAATACCTCTCTTATCTCCATGACTAACCCTCCTCACGTCTCTTTACCACCTCGCACCGTTAGGGAAAACGATTCCAGTACGTTGAACGCTATTCCTGGTCTCCTGAAACCTCACTCTAAACTACACGTAGGAGCTTTTAACGTTATGACAAACAGGACAACAGGCTTCCTTGGCTAGGACTTTAGAATCTCGCGCCATCGATGTGTGCTGCGTCTCCGAAACGCGCATACAGGATCTGAGTAGCGTCATTCATTTGACCTCACCATGCCAAAATAAAGAACCGACTTGATTCACACTTCATGTATCTGGAAGCCCTGATTCTGCTTCCCGTGGCCTCGCCGGCGTAGGTATAGCATTGAGTCCTAGGACAGAACTAGCTCTCTTAGAGTGGATCCCAGTAGACAGTCGTTTGTGCGCTGTCCGACTGAATGGAACAGTAAGGATCCGGAAAGATAGGGACACTCGTCGTTGCCTCTTCGTCGTCTCTGCCTATTCTCCCACTGACTGCAGCTCAGATGATGTAAAAGATGAGTTTTACAGAAAGCTCTTCGACCTTCTCCGAAAAGCTAGACGCTCGGATGTAGTAATAGTGGCCGGTGACTTTAATGCTCAAGTAGGTAAACTAAGCGATAGGGAAAGACACCTGGGTGGATCTTATAGCATCATGACTCAAAGAACAGATAATGGCGACCGTATGTTGCAGCTATGCTCAGATAACCGCCTGTTCCTTGCAAATACTAACTTTAAGCATAAGGAAAAACATCTTTCAACATGGCGACCCCCGAATTCGTCCCAACGTTGGACCCAAATAGATCACATCGCTATCAGCCACCGATGGAGGGGCTCGATAGAAGACTGTCGCTCATTCTGGAGCACATCAGTCAGTCAGTCAGCTACAACGTAGGACCAGGCACATATGTGCATCGGTCCAGGTTGCCATACCTCATTAGCACAACAAGATGAACACCGGATTCATAGGAGTGGTTAGGTCAAAGGTTGCAATAAGGATATAGTATAGGAAGGAAGAATTAGTTCGTGGAAAGAAAGATATGAAGTGATTTTAATCTCTTAGTTTAAGGGAAGACAGGGAGTGTATACACCGACGCCATTGTGATCGATTCTGAGCCATGTCACCAAGAGTCTCCAACCATTGGTTACGATAGTCACGCGGACCCCAACCAAGTAGTCTGCATCTACCAACATGGCTCAGACTAGAAGTTAGTGACTTCAAGCACTGATGCCACGTTTTGGTTTGGCCGCCCCTAACTTTCTTCCAACCAACCCCTACACCGGTTAGTATTGCACGTCGTGGTAATCGGTGTTCAGGCATACGTAATACGTGGCCCAACCATCTCAGTCGATGAAGATTCATAACCTCATCAACTGATTTACCATCATTCCCTAATACCCTGCGTCTAACCTCACTATTACTTACCCGGTGATCCCAGCAGATGCCAGCAATATTTCTAAGGCATCTGTGGTCAAATACTTGTAGCTTACGGGTGTCTTCTACTCTTAAAGGCCATGTTTCGCTGCCGTAAAGTAAGACAGAACGGACTGCCGCGCAGTAAACTCGTCCTTTAATTGATAGACGGATATCTCGCCTCCGCCAAAGGTGACGTAAGTTGGCAAAAGCCAAACGAGCTTTTCGAATCCGTGCTGAGATTTCGTCAGACACCAACCCATTAGGGCTGATCAGACTTCCGAGATAAGTGAAGTTGTCGACGCGTTCGACTACTTCACTCCCTATCCTTAGTTCAGGTGTTGACGCAGACCAGTCCTGAAGCAACAACTTGCATTTAGAGGGAGAGAAGCGCATCCCAAACATTCTGGCATTGTTGCTTAGTGCTACCAGAAGACTCTGCATTTTGTCAGCGTCTTCACCAAACAGGACTATATCATCTGCGTATTCTAAGTCGATAAGTGGACCTCCTGGAAGGAGATCAATACCCGAGAATTCAGTCGACGAGAATGTTATTTCCATCAATAGGTCTATGATGAAGTTAAACAGAAATGGAGAAAGTGGACAGCCTTGACGGACACCACTTGAAGTTGCAAAAGTAGATGACAGTTCGCCATAAGCCCTGACTCGACTAGTAGTGTTCGAGTAAAGAGCCTTCACAAGGTTTATGTACTTCTGAGGTACGCCTTTCAATGACAGACACTGCCACAGAGTCTCGCGGTCTACCGAGTCAAACGCTGCTTTTAAGTCAAGAAAGACCACCATCGTCGGACGCCGATAGGTATGCCTGTGTTCTAGAACCTGACGAATGGTGAATATGTGGTCGATGCAGCCACGACCAGGTCTAAAGCCAGCTTGGTTCTCTCGAGTTTGTAGTTCACGAGTCTTAGTTAGGCGTCTGATAATTATCGAGGCCAGTATTTTAGATACTATGTTTGTTAAACTAATCCCTCTGTGGTTGTCACAGGATGATTTTGACCCTTTCTTATATATTGGGACGATGAGTGATTGCGACCAGTCAGATGGGATAAAGTCTAATTCCCAGATCTTAGCTAAAATATTAGTCAACCTAATCGCTAAAATTGGACCACCATCCTTAAAGACCTCTGGAGCCAATCCATCTGGACCAGCTGCCCTTCCTCGTTTCAGATTAACTATAGCCTTTTGAACTTCAGCAAGAGTTGGGGGACCTACTTCAATGTTCCATTCACATTGTCTGGGAATGGAGGGTAGTTGTAGAGTAGCTGAAGGCCAGCTGAACTGTTCTCTAAAATGTTCCGCCCATCGTTCTAAACGTCTGGACTGGGAGCAGATGAGAGTATCATCTTTTTCCGAAATAATCTCACTTACACTTGACTTATTAATTCCAGTTTCTTTTATTAGTCTGTAAAGCTGTCTTGTGTTCCCTATAGTCGCCGCCTTTTCCATCTCTTTTGCTTTCGTTACCCACCACTGCTCACGGTCGTTTCTTAGACTTTTTCTTAACCTAGATCTGATTTGTTTTCGCTCTTCATCATGTTCAGAACCTGATGGGACGAGTTTGCGAGAATCCATCAGTGTGACAGACCTTGAAGAAATCCACT